GTCTTTTTTGCTGACTCCAGAATGTTCATTTTGGATTCCAAGAATAAGTCAGGTGTTTATGTTTGCATAAAGAAGCTAATCCTAGGGGCTCCTGGGTGGCTCAGTCGGTTAAGCGTCTGCCTTTGGCTCAGGTCATGATCCCGGGGTCCTGGGAGGGAGCCCTACATTGGGGTCCTTTTTCAGCAGGGAGCCTGTTTCTCCCTCTCCTTCTGCCTGCTGCCCCCGCTTCTTGTGCTCTCCCTCTCTCTCTCTCTCTCTGACAAATAAATAAATAAATAATCTTATAATTTTTTAAGATTTCATCTATTTATCAGAGAGTAAGGGAGAGATCACAAGTAGGGGGAGAGGCAGAGACAGAGGGAGAAGCAGGTTCCCTGCTGAGAAAAGAGCCCAGAGGATAGATAAATAATCTTAAAAAAAAAAAAAAAAAAGCTAATTCTGAAAAATGACAGAATCACATTTTGGGTTCTCAGTTTTCAGTGCTAAACTAGTTTAGAAAGAAAGGACAAACTGGCTGCTCTAGGCTGGTTTTTGGCCTCCAAATACATTTAAGTTAACAGACTGTAATTTATATATAATCACATTATCAGTCTTTCAGATTCAAATCTTTACTTGTTTTGAGGCTCATCAAATTTACACATTACAAACTGGGTACAGTGAAATTTTACAAATGGAGATTATATGAGTGACTGTGCTTTATCGGAAATTAAAAAGATTTCCAGGGTCTGTGAAGTCTGCGAGTCTACTTCTAACAATTAAAGTGCTGGTGGATCCTCCTGCCTTCGGTTCTTACCAGGCGAAACCTGGTTGGTTCCACAGAGTGCTAGCACCCCCTGCTGGCTACTTCTAGGGTGACAGTCTTGTAACCGGTAGATGCTTACCAAGTTTTTCTGTCCAACTGTGCAAAATCTCAACCATTTGCCCGCCTACAGTTTTTGTTATTACCATCACAGATAGGAAAACGGAGTCAGACAAGATCCCCACAAAATTCTTGTTCCATCCACAATATTTGGAACATAAAATCCAGAAGTATTTAGATTACTGTGTTTAAGCCTATTTTTAAAAATAAGTTTTAAAATTGCTATTTGCTGTAAACAGTTTCTATTCGGAGAAGCTTTATCAGCCATTAAAAACCAAAGCTGTTGGGTCAAAAGGAAAAATACAGCATATAGGCTAGAAGGAAACTCCAGTGCATATAATCTGTTTGGGGTAGCAGTCCTTTGTGGGCTCTATTCTTGCCACCTGCCCGTGAAAGTAATGCAGTGTTCCACAACTTCACCTTTTAGCCCTGTCACATTTTGAGAATTTATAATAATTTCGAGTCTCACAGTAGGTGTCTAAATTTCCCACCCATCATGAAACCGGAAAGTCTGAAGAAAGGAACCCCTGTGTGTATGAAATTCTAAAATGATGATTTAGTTCATATTTGCACTGTGGCCGTTTTGGGCTTGTCTTTCTTAGAAATATTTTCCTAACATATTTAAGGTAGCCATCATTTGATGGGAAGCACTTTTAAAACAACTGAGAAGGGTGATGTCCAGGGCCCCGGAGGGAAGGGAAAGTCTGGGCTGCAGGGAGGGGCTTGGAGAGTGGTGACTCCTTCATGCCATGCCTGTATTTGGGGTGTTGGGGGACTTGCTATGCTCTGAGCTTTGGTTGGTGGTGGTAGCTGCTGTTAAGCAGGTTTCATGGTGTTCAGCTGGATCCATCGTTTCCTGAATCCCTCTGCCTTTGATAAGCTGAGACCTCTGCTGGGGTCACCCGGAAAGCCAGGATGGAGAAGCAAATGACAAAGTGTGCCCCCAGCTAAGGGGCAGCCACCCGTCATTAATGTTCTTGGAGCGAGGGATTCCAGCATCTTCCTTTGCCCGGTTAAGTTTCCAGAGCCTCCTTTTGTTTGGAGGCATGTTTACATTTCCAAGGAGAACTATCTGGCTGCTGTTGAGGATCATAAAGACAGGTCAGAGGAAGCAGTCTGGCTCTGCACACGTCCACAGATAAAATCAGGCCGGCAGGCTCATGACTCATATGTGATGCCACTCGACTGTCAGGCCTGCGACCTCAAGCTAGCTGGCAGCAGGTTCTGGTGTGGTGCTGACTGAGTGTGGTGCTAAGAAGCATGAATTAGGGTGATGATCCTATGGGGCAAGATGGAGCACACCCACAGAAGATCATTGACGCTTGACTTCTGTGCTCTCTTCTGTAACTTCAGTCGACCAACAGCCAGTAAGCATCGAGTCCCCTTCGTGTGTCAGGCCCTGTGATGATAACAGTGAGAGGAAGAGGCACCTGCTCCCCTCAGCTTTGCGCACCGGGATCTTGGGGAGACCCATAGGTCCAGGAGCAGTCACAGTGCTGAGTGGTGAATACTGCAGAGGTCAGGAAAGTTCTCTGGGAGCCCAGAGGCAGCTCGGGTTCCGTCTTCAGATGTGGGGAAGGCTTCTCAGAATAGATGGTGTGCGCCCACACCTTAAAGGATGGGTGGGACATTCCTACCTGTGAGCCTGGGGGTGGGGGGAGTTCAGGGGGATTGTGTTTGGGTAGTGTGGACCTTTGAGATTGGCAGGAGAGTATGGGGAGTTGCAAGGCACAGAGCTGGTAAGGTAGGCTGGGGTCGATTGGGGAAGGTACTTCTTGCTTTTTTCTACTTCATTCTGGAAAACAATACCCTACCAGGAAGATAGGGCTGCTGGATAAAATACAGAACACCAAGTTGAGTTTGAATTTCAGATAAACAGCAAATAATTTTTTTTAGTGTAATCTGTCCATACTACTGCATTATTCACTGTTTATCTGAAATTCATATTTAACTAGGTGTTCTTTGTTTTATTTGCTAAATCAGGCCATTCTAAAAAAAGAAGATCACTATAGAGCAGAATGTATTTATCCTACTATATATATAACTTTGCAGCTATGAACTCAACCGTGGGCTGAACATTAATTAAATCAAAGATGTAACCCAAAATGTGTCATTGAGGCAAAAATGCACGAATTATAAACCTTTATACTACCTTAAGATTGTTAAGTCGTGATGTGTATCCTGTGATTTGGGTATACGTACATTGCGTGCATTGACCATCTGAGAGGCTAACCTTCGTACAAATGCACGTACAGAATATAAAATAATAAAACTACTGTGTCATAAACGTGAGTGATTTAAAACTCGTATTCTAGAGGTAACGAAAGTTGAACTTTAATAATAATAGTTTTGTTCATCCTAGAATGAAGAAGCATTTGGTGGGGATGATTAATTTAATTGTCCTCTCTTAAAAACAATTTTCCAGAGGATTTTGCATTGGGCCTTTTTCCCTGGGCAGACTCCCGGTAGCAAGCAGAAGATGAAAGCATTTTGGTGCAAAGAGCAAAACAACGTGTGTGTGTGTGTGTGTGTGTGTGTGTTGCCAAGCAAGGAATTCAGGGCTGAGGAAGAAGCATCCTGAGATTCTGGTACTATTTTCTTTTTTCTTTCTGCTTCCCAGAACGTGCAGGGGGCGTGGTGGGGCCTGGTAACCTGAGGAAAAGGGGAGAAGGTAGAGAAGGCCCAGTCCCGTTCTCTGGTGACTGCTGGGGTGTGTGCCTGGGCCCTGTGGACAGAGGCCGCAGGTGGCTCAGCCAGCGAGCCACAGCCCAGCCAGCCCCCTTGGGCTCCAGCCACCTGAGCAGCTGCTGACTGGCCCCTGGGCCTGCAGGGCTGAGGGGGTGGGCAGGCCCAGACAGCCCCTCTGACACCCGCGGTGGCCTGTGCTTTAGGACGTTGAGGGAACCTTGCTTAGAAGTTGGCCGTGACTCAGGCTGCTTGAAGGACTCCCCCTGCGACAGCGTAGGCGTTCAGACATGTCCTTGCCCTATGTTCGGGGCCGTCCCTGGTTCCGTGGACTGTATGTTTAATCATTTAGTTTAGGAAATTAACTTGATGACTTGTAGTTCCCGTTGACGAATTGCCTGAAGACCAAGCCTTTCTCCTGCAAAACCAAACCAAACCAGAACTGAAAACCGTAGACGCAGCAACTGGTAACAGTTCTGGGATGATCCCAGCACCTGGTCTGGCCTTGGCTCCCAGGGACCGTCCTGCCGGGCCACACGAAGTATGGCAAAGAGGCCTGTGTCCTTGGGGATGTCATTCCTGTGTCCCCAGGAGTCCGGTGTGTAGAAACTGAAACGAGGAGACTCAGGCTACTTCCTGCTCGTGGGGAGCCGGAAGCACACCCAGGTCTCCAGGCTGCCTGCCGTCACAGTTGACAGACTAAAGTCTTTACTTCCCAAAAGTCACTCAGGATCCTGTTACGTGTAACGAGGGTAGATGTTCAGATTCTGAAAAAGTGCTGTGAACCATACCCACTTTTTTTTTTCTGGGAAAAGATCTGACTTTTCCCCTTCCAGCATGTAAATGACTTGTCTGAATATGGACTCCATTTCCACAGGCTCTGTGGTGAGGTCAGCGGAGGCCAGGGGAGCCAGCCCTTCCACTGCGTGGGTGAGGCAGGTTCTGGGCCACACCCCCTGTGGCTGAGTGGGTGTGGCCCCAGGCCACACCTGCCTGGGGCTGAGTGGTCCCCAGCCAAGCTTTGGTCTTGTCATGAGGCTGGCCCTGACTGTCCCATTTGATCCCTGGCTTATACCTACGTTTCCCACTCATTCCACTATCCCCCACCTGCCAGACTTCACCTTTCGGGGAAGGGCATCATCTCCCCCAGCACACGTGGAAATCATTCATTGGGTCATTGAAACTTAAAATGAGGTTGAGAGCACTGCTTTCAGAGTAAGGCTGTGTAAGTATTCCCAGACGTCTTTGGTGGAGAGGGACACTGGGCAGTGGCTTCCTTGTCATGGGGTTGTCTGTTGTTCTGTATTTAATCTAGGAGCACATTTCCAGTCTGTTTTGTTTTTGGTTTTGGTTTTTTTGGGTTTTGGGTTTTTTTGTTTGGTTTGGTTTAGGTTTTGGTTTTTTGACTTTAGGCATTTCTGTCTTAATTCTGTCTGAATGTCTGTCTCAATTCTAGGCCTGGTTGCCATCAAGGACGCCCGCGATATAGAGACCAGGCTTAACGAGGTGGAGAAGTTGCTGAAGGCCATCCTTAGCATGCCGTGCAAAGTGAGTACGATCGGCAGGGCTGGTGGGGGCGGGTGGGGGTCGGGACACATCCTGCCCGCTTCCAGACAACGATGCCCTCACCCATGTAGCTGGTTGCTCCCTCCCTGGACGGTTCAGGCCATGGGGAGGGGCGGACAAAACCAGGGGAAAGGAAGACTTTTGTGGGCTCGTGCAGCTCCGTTGTTTTCTCCTTGGTAAGAAGTGAGAGTCAAGGGCCAAGGAGGCACTGAGTAGGAAGAGACATGGTCCCTCCACTCCCATGGTCTTTGCTTTCTTGCCTCCACTCAGAAGCCCACCGGTCTTGCAGAGGGTGTTTTGGAAGAGGGTGTATGGGAGCCAAGGAGAGTGTTAGCATCCACATTGGCAGATGGCCTTTAAATGAAATGGGCAAGCTTCGTGCACTTGGGACCCACTTGACTCCCACGGGGTCCATTTCCTTCTCTGCGAATGGGGAAAGTCAACACACTTACTGTTTATCATAAGGGGGAGGGATACATGTGCGAAATCCGGTACGTACCAAGCGCTCAGAAAATCTCCCCATCGCTTCCATCCACCCCATTCCCTCTGTCCCTGGAGCCTTGCATTTTTGCCACATGGGGCCATTTTTAAGTGAAAGGTGGGCCTTGACTACAGCCTCATCAGTGTGGCCCGCCCCGCCAAGCATCTGGAAGGTGCAGGGGCATCAGCCTCACACGAGGCCACCTCTAGGGAGGACTCTAGTTTAGTCATTAACGCACTTATCCCCAGTATTCCAGGTCAGAAGTTGTGCTCACCTTCTTTGAAAGATCTCCTCTGGACCAGGTGTTAAAAAACGACAACGTACATAAAATTCAACCCAGCTTTCAGAGTCCAGTGAAAATATCAGGTAAGAGCTGCAGGGAAGGCATGGGGAGGCCGGGTCCTGCCGTGGATGGCCATGGTTCTCTGGAAGACTTTCCAGTTCACCGGGTACACCTTCTACCCTTGGGATCCAGAAAGATGATCCAAAAGAGGAATAAAGTGGGTGGAGGCTGTTACCTGATTTTCATGGAACGGTGTTTTCCACCCATCGACCTGCAGTTTACACTTCTCCAGTTTCCAAAAGGAGTAACTCAGTATATCAGTGGGAACTTTCTTACGAAACAGGGTCATGATGAACACATTAATGGGGCACTGGGAAGTGAATGATGTCAATCAGGAGTCTAGCCAGCTGATGTAAGATTGTTCACACAATATAGCAGTGACAGAAAGGGGAGCGCACAATTTAGATGTCACTAACGTTGACACTGGACCATACCTTCTAGCCCCGAAGAGGCCAATGTCTGCGGCAGTAAAAGCGAACGTTGGCTGGGAGGAGCTGCTGGCCGGCTCACCTGGGGGGGCGTGGATGGAAAGGTGGGGGAGGAGCTGGAACTTAGCCCTGTTTGGTAGCTTTCTGCATCTGGGTTGCAAATGTTGTTAGAACACTAGACTTTCATTTTTGCAGTACTGTTTTGGTGAAGGCTGCTGAGGGGCATTTTGTGGGGAAAAGAGCTCTGTCCCAGAGTCCTGGACATGGAGCTCCCCCAGGCAATGGACATGTGACTGGGGTCGTGTGGGAGTGTGGCGGTTGGAAAGGGCGGAAAGGGCGGAAAGGCAGCTACAAGAGGAGATAGAGTTTGGCTCAAGGGGAGATCCTGCAGAAGGTGCTGGTCTGTAGGAAGAAGGGAAGGAGGGATTCTGCATTTAGCATTCTATTTCCAAATGGAGGAGGGAGGAGAGCAGAAGAAGCATGGGCGGGAGGGATACCCCGGAAGTTGGTGAAGAACAGTCAGGAGATGAAAGTGCATCTGAGCCCAGAGCTGTCTCCTAAGAAGGCACTGGGGGTTCACGGTGATAGGGAGACAGAGGACCAATCGGGATGGTGGTGGTGGGTGTCTTTAGTAGGAAAAGTGTCCTTACTGAGCTATGCGCTATAGCAGGGATGAGATCCTTAACCATGTGTGGGGGAATGGGTGGAGAGGGTGGGCAAGTTCAGGGGACCCAAAGGGAAAGCACATTAGGATGTGATTGTGTATGCGGGATGGCTGGCAGGCCTGGGCTTGCTGGGGTCTGCTTGCTTTTGATGTCCATCCAACATGGCTTCCTGTGTGTTGTTAGGAAGAAGAGCAGGGTGTTTGGGTATCCCTCCTTAGCTGGCACTTAGTATCCAGAACCTTCTTCATAGGAGAAATGGCAGTCATTTATCCCGGTTGGGTGTCTATGGACCTCAGTCTTGGAGGGCACAGTGAGGGATTCGGGACGCTTGTCACTCATGGTGGGTTTTATGTGCTGCCACTAGAGCACAGACAAGTCTCTGTTCTTTCATCCTGAGCAGAAGAGTCCCAGCACGGGTGTCACCATTTTGCTTTATTTCTGTTTTGAGCCAATAGGAGAGCAAAGAGCAGCAGAAGTCTTCAGGCCCTGTGCTGGTAGCAGGAGCGGGACACTTGATTGCTTCTGATTAATTCTGGAGTGCAGCCACCTGGAAACACTCCCAGCGCCCTGTCTACCATCCTATTTTTACTTGTGACAGGGCTAAACACATGACATGCCCCATGTTTATCCTAAAGGGCTGGAAATAATGAGGTGAAATTTATCAGGGATAATTGTAGCTTCCCATGTGAGGCTTTAGCTACACTCTCTGGGTCTTCTGTGAGGACTGGGGACAGGTTTTCGGTCCCAGGGACATTGCTGCGGGTACAAATAACCACAGGGATTTGAGTTCAGCACAGAACACTTTGTAGCAACGGGAACTCCGTCCAGCAATGGAGTCTGTAAATATCTATTTCAAGTCTGTTCTGAGAGCCTCGTGGCTCCCTGCAGAGGCCAGGGCAGCCTGTCAGAGGCATCCCTCCCAGGGTCGGCGGCTGGGAGAGGCCTCTCCCACCCTTTCAGAGCTAAGATTCCGTCTCCTGGGGCCTTCATGAATCTCCTTATCCACTTTGATCAATTGGGCACCAAGTCCGAGGCTTCTCCCCTGGAAGCATTCCAACCTCCCCATCTCTGCTCCAGGACTAGGCGGCCCTCACTCTGTCTGAGGGAGGGCTTCTCACCATCAGTGTATAGATATGCAGACAATAACGGGGTGTGCCCCCAGAGTGTGAGATATACTTTCATTACTCACTGAGTGAGGAAAGAAATATACTAAGGCAATGAACTATGGTAAATTAAAAAATACTTTTCAATGAAACCTTTGTTTACAGTAGCACTGGTATCCCTTCGAAGAGCTAGTCTACACATGGGCAAGCCATGTTCTTCAAGCTTGTTCTCCTATGTGGGTGTTTGTGGACTCGAGTTCCCCCCGACTTGAAGCTTCACACTCTGGGCAACATGACCTCCCCCCCAGCCCGGGAATATCCACAGGTCTCTTTCTCTCTCTCTCTGTCTCTCTCAGCCTCCCCCGTGCCCCAGGACAGACCCTGAATACTGAGATTGGTCATTCTGGACCTCTGACTTCCTGGGCTCATTCATTTTCTCACAACCTCACACTCATGATAAAGGCCAAGTGCCCTAGTCATTCCAGCAGGCCAGAGTCTGGTTCACACTAGCTTTTTGATGCTGTCACCATAGAACCCTTTGCTCCAGACCCTCGGCCTCCCCTTGGTGGGGCTTTGCTGTCCTGTGGGCTCCCATCTTCCCTCTGTTCCCACAAACCCCGCCCGTCCATCCTGTCCTGCTAAATTCCACTCACTCCTGAAAATGCCCCTGCCTGCTGCAGCTCACCCCACCCTTCCTCCTCCTTTCCTCTCCGATTTCTTAACGCCTGCTGCTACTGTTGATGTGGCACGTAGGGAGATGGCAGCATGGGCGACAGGCGCTGACCTAGGCTTCCCGGGGGCTTTTCGTTATCTCCAGGCGTGCGCAGGGGCTCTGAGTGCGCAGCCGCAGAGACTGCTGAGCGCCAGGGCTCCGCTAGATGGCGCCAGGCGCTAGCCACATCCTGGGGCCGCTGCAAGGCGGTGGGGGACCCTGTGACCTCCTGTGGGATGCTTTGGGCGAGTACATCCTTAAACATTCTTCCTCCCATGTGAATCTAAATGTTTATGGAATCAGAAAAACTCAAATAGAGTTTTCTACATGGTGGCTGGGTCCGTGCTTAGCAGGAAGCCTAAAGCGCCACTGTGATTTGCCTACTTGGACCAATCTATGTAAGCCACAAAAATATAATTATTCAGGTTTGGGGGCGGGGGGTGGGTTGGAAATGAATTCTAATTTCGTATTTCATTAACCAGGCAGCTGTACCATCTCAACCTTAATTTTCACCGTACGAGGTTCATCCAGTTGGCGAATTAATAAAAAGGCCATGCTTTGGATTTTGTTTGATTGCTGGACTACACTGAAAATATAATGGGAGAGAGGATTTGGATGGAGGGAAGCTACACTGTGAATGCTTTCGGAACTGAGCTAATGGCTTCATTAAAAGAAGAACGTAGGAATTACTGAACTGAAGGAAGGATGGGGCAGAGGAGAGCATGGCGACAGCTAAAAAAATAGAAAAATCATGACCCAACACACACCACAGTCATACAGTTGACCCCTGAACAGCAGAGGGGTTAGGGGCTCTGACCCCTTGCACGTTGAAAATCCATGTATAACTTTGATTCCCCCAAAACTGTTGACCGCAAGCCTTGCTGATAATATTAACAGTTGATTAATATATACTTTGTATAAGTATTAAATATTCTTACACAAGTAAGCTAGAGAAAAGATGTTATTAAGAAAACCTAAAGAGAAAATACATTTATGGTACTGTAGTGTACTGTAGTGTAGTGTACGGTACTGTAGTGTAGTGTACATAAAACACACACACACACACACACACACACAGAGTGGACCTAGGCAGTTCAAACCTGTGCTGTTCAAGGCCAACTGTAATTGTCGCAGGAAAGGTCCACTGGTAAGATGAATGGGAAAAAGTTGGAGAGAAACAGATTCTGCAAAGTATCAGTGCATTGCCCCAAGATATATATTGACTGCAAAGAGAAAGAGTGAACCTGGCAGAAACTTCTTATGCAAGTGATGCTGATGTTGACATCACACCCCCTAACAGGATGCGGGGGGGAGAGGGCAGCATGGGGTCACTCTACAGGATTCCTGCTGGGAACACTCCACGTCAGTCAGAGCTCAAAAGCACCAGACAAATTGAGGGACCATTGATAAAATAACTCACCAGCCCCTCCCAAAGTGTTACTTTCATAGGAGATGAGGAGAGACAGAAGAACCTTCAGAGGCTGCACAAAACAAGGAAACAGCAATGCAAGGATCCCCAACAAAGGATCCAGGGCTGGGTCTATAACAGAAGAAAGGGACATTGGTGGAAAAGCCTGTCCACTCCAGTAAGGGAGGTGTCTGGTTAAGTCCACCAGCTCTGATCATTGCACCATAGCTATGGGAAACGTTAACATCAGGAGAAACTGGTGAGGGCTACGTGAGAACGCCATGCTGTCTCTGTAACTTTTCTATAATTTAAAATTAGCTCAAAAGATAGAAGTTAAGAAATGGCAAAGCAGAACTCTTCATGTGAAAAAAAAAATGAATGCAGAGAAGTAGCTTGAAAAGGAACTGTTTCATGGAATCAGTCATGTATGGGATTAAAGTAATGACACTGGCCAGTGATTTTTTGCTATAGGGACTAAGCTGACTTCTAAGACATTCACATTCTATGTGCATTTGGAGACAGGATTCAGATGTGAGCGCTGTTCTGTAATCATAACCTTTTCTCTGGTTCGGTTTAATTGCATGACACAACAGCTATGAAGACATTAGCAGTAATGACAGTCATCACTACCATTTGCCCGGCGTGCAATATTTGTTAGATTCTTTACAAATACCATCTCATTTTATGTACTCCTGTGCTTTGGGGATGGGTATGCCCATTTTATAGATGAAGGAAGTGAGCAAGCAGTAACCTGCTCCCCACGCATGAGTAGCAGAACTGGAGTTCATAGCTTGCCTTGCACACACCATTAAACCACATGATTGTGTACAGAGGTTTCTTTGCAGGGGGAGTTAGGGAGTGATTTGTTAGAAATCTATTTTGGGGGGCTGGTAAGGACTCCATTTCTTAGAGATCCAAATTTCACGTTTAAGAGAGATGAGGAAGTTTGAAAGTTCCTCTGTGAGGTAACTCTTCATTACCATCAGATATGTTTTGTTGCACAGACATTTGTTTTCCCTTGTAGTATTTTCCCCTCCAAACTCCCTTAGCAAAGGGGTGGTGGAATGGGCTGGAGGCTGTGAACTGGCTGAGGTTGGGTGTGCTTCTGAGACAGACATATTTGAGTCAGAGTTAGTAAAAAGCAATAAAGAGAGGGGTTCTGTGCTGCTGTATGTTTTGATTGGAGAGGCAAGGGCATCTTAATCTTTCTTGTTACAATGCAGTCATCTTCAGAGTCTGTTCACTCAGACTTGGGTAAACATCTTCCCGCCCGTAGAAATGTCATTGATCCCGGAGGTTCCAAGCACTGACTTTTCATCAGGTCTTGGTGTTCCTTCTCATGACTTCAGGCTCTGCAAGCTTGTCTTTGCGCAGGGAGGGCGGGTGCGATTCAACCTGGAGGGGTGGGGTGGGCAGGGAAGAGCAATGCGCTGATGTCACCCAGAGTGTTACTGATGGGACTGGTGTTTCAAAAGACCAAAGAACCATGAGCCCTCACTTCTGCAGAAAGTCAAGTGGAGATGGTACAATTACTTGGCAAATCTGACTGATGAAGCATCGTTTTATTCCTGTGGGGCTAAGGAGGAAACCTTCTCTTTTTCTTTGTTTTTGTGTAGTTTTCCTAATTCTCTTCACATGGAAAGAAAGTCAAAGAACTGAGAACCAGGTATCTGGAAAGAGTAAAAATATATAGAAAGTTACAATTATACTTATGAGAAAAGAAAATCCATGCATGGGAATAAAAAAAAGTCTAAATTATGATGAGATGAAGGAAAAAATTAAAAGAAAACAATCTCCCAAACAGTAGTGACAGGTGCCTAGGGAGACTGTGGACAGGTGAGGGATGTTTTTGTTACCTGTGCTGGGCCAGTAGGAGAGTAGAGCTATTTCAAGTTGTGTGTTTCTGTGTGTGAGCCTCTGAATGGGAAGATGATAATCCTTTGGATTTGAGAATGCCCCAGAAATTGAGTCAGTTTTTTTTAAGATGAGGTAAGGAGAGGACCTGATTTGAGAGGACAGACAAGGGCGGTGAACATGGCCCTTCCCTGACTAAGAGCTAAGGTTAGGGGCAGCTTCCCAGAGGGCTGGAGAACTCCCAGCACTGAGGAGAACTAGTAATGGCCACCAGATCAATTCTTGGAGCATTTTACAGAAACACATTCCCTGGGGAAATGTAAATAAAAGCTACACCAGATAGGAGAAGTCAGTCAAGACACATTGACTCCTTATACTTAAATGGACAAGATGGCGTGATGGAATCTGGTAACTCACGAGAGTTTAGAATTGAAGGGATCCTTGGAGACCATCCGCTACTATGCTGAAATTCCCCAGTTGAGGATACTGAGTCCCAAGACCGTGGACCTTTGGTGTCCGGACTCCCAGTCCAGGGCTGTGTCCCCTGCCACACATCCAGGCATGCCTGTCCTCTCCTATCCTGGTGTGGGGTAAACACTAGACTTCCATCCTCAGAAGCTCACTGCCTAAGGCCAATGTAGACTACTTAGTTTGACTTTTTAACTACCAAAATTTGTGCATACAGGTTAAAAAAAAAAGATCAATTTGTTTACAGAATTATATAAAGTAAAAAGGTGAAGTTGCCCATTTGGTGTAAAATGCATACTGATCTCAGCTGACCCTCACAGCGACCCAGGGCAGTGGAGAGTGTCATCCACATCTCAGGCACAGGGAAGATCGGGTACCTGTGCAAAGCCTCATGGCGGCAATGTGTAATGGACCCAGACCCAAACCCAAGCCGATAGACATGAGCTCAGTACTCTCTCTATGCCAGCTTTAAACTAATGGGGAGGGCTTTTGGGGACGGTGCTGGTAAAATTCAGAGCATCTTCCTGGAGCCTCTTGGCTTATACAGGGTTCTCAGATGTGGTTTCTGTGGAGGTTGGCATTAGCTCCTGAATCTGTTGGTAGGACTCCAGAATGGGCCTCTGGAGTGTAGAGGATTCTCTTGGAGTGTGGGGGAGAATTTAGGGCAGTAGATGGAGGGGGAAGTAGAGAGATTGGTATAAGCCCAAAATTTCTAAATCTGGCCCATCCTGCATATTTACTTCATTGCTTTCATTTTTCAGAAATCATGAGGTCCAATGGATTTTGCTTAGCAAATACGGAAACCATTGTTATTGACCACAGTATACCCAACGGAAAAGACCAGCACCTGGGTGTGGACCCGACAGAGCACTTGTAAGTAGACTGATTTGAATATAGTTTTATAGAGGGGATCCCTGACCTGTCAGCCTGTCAGCTGGTGCCAGAGGCCGGAGTTCACGGCCCATACAGAGCTCTAGAGGAAGCAGATGTGGCCAGAGATACTGAGCCATCCTGCCTGCATCTGGACACTTTTTTGAAGTGTTTGACTTTTCTAGAGGACAGTAAGAGCTTGCTTCATAAACCTTGCAGGAACAAAGTTCCTTTGACCAAGGGGCTGGCTGAAAGGGGGCATCAAAGAGAAGTGGCCGGACTTCAGAGTCTGGTCTGTGCTGGGCCCTGAGGAACTATGGCGGCCATAAGCCTCCCTGCTCCAAGGGCCTGGTCTCCAGGGATGGGGAGAAGTGTCCCCTGCATGGTGTTACATCACAGGGCTGGAGATTCTCCAGACTCTGAGGTGGCTTCCGTAGAGCTCACAGGCTGAAACCTGACGCCACTGGGCCTGCTCTGAGGGGAAGGAGGATGTGTCCGACTAGTGAAGGCAGGACAGCCAAAGACACCACAGCCTTCCCTGTCCCTCCTTCTCTAATAACAGAACGTTTCACCGTGATAAACACACTGGGAAAGCGCGACACCTGGCGTCCCTGCGAGGCACAGCCTCCTTCATCCCTGGTGCACTTCCGGGTCATGTCCTTGGGAGTCTTCAGGAGGCAGCTTTAGGGGACATCACAGCTTGGCTTCTGTTGACTGTCCAGGCCAACCCCACGGCTCCTGCTGGTTATGTGAGCCTCAGGAAGTTATTTAACCTCTCCTGGCTTCTCTTCTCCTCCGAGTGGGGCCCCTGAGGCTCTCCCGGGGTCATTGTAAAGATCTTAGATGGTAAATGGGAACCCCCTGGCCCCGGAGCCCCCGCAGGCCACACTGGGTGCTCAGAGTCTCCCTGGGGGCCCATGAGCAGCACCTCCTGGGATCGGGGGCCTTGGAGTCTCATATCCGGCCTCACCCACTGAGCTGCCAGTAAACACGCACTAGGACAGACTCTGTGCCAGCCGACAGCAGAGCAGAGCACGAGCCCTGGGTGTCCCTGAGCTCCTGCTGCAGGCGGCCGGCCGGAGCCTTCTGCTGGAGCCTTGCTCTGTGACCGAGCACAGGGGGAGCCATGTCAGGCCCATGGAACCGGCAGCTCCCACTTCCTCAGTTTCAAACATGTCTTCTGGGTCAATGGCACAAGGTTACCTCACCATGGAGATGTCATGAAATGCTTGTGTAAGAGGTTATGCTGGTAAGTCTGCTGGGGGTGGCCTTTCCCTGACAGGTCCTTGTCCCTTTGCATGCCTTGCTGTGACACCACGTGGCTTCATACCCACTGTGCGTGTCTATAGCTCATTCGTTCATGAGCGGGGGTCCTCCATGATCACACAGTGCTGGCACCGAGGGGGCACGAGATTGCTCTCTATGAAGTGAGTGACCGGAAGGAGAGGCCCTGGAGCATCATGGGAGGAGCTTCTGCAGAGGGGCTGTCTTGGTGGACGAGGGGCAGGTGGAGACCCTCCTTCATCAGTAGTAGGGTCCCAGCTCTGGCAGCACAGTTTCTCCCGGGAGACCTTTTCTTTCGTCGGGAGTCCTAAGAGGCCAGCCCGCACTCGGCAAGATTGGACAAGTAAGTTGAACCATGAATAGTTTTGCCAAGGAGGGAAGCTCACAGAGAGAAAGCAAGGGTGGTAACGTGACCCCACAGCTCTGAATGGACAGGGATGACACGCCCTTAGCATGGGGCCCCTGGGCTCCAGGATGCCTGGCTGGCAGGAAACCGAGCAAGAAAAGCCTCGGTGATCCCAGAAAGGCTTAACAAAGAAATGTCTACTTCCGAGTGGCTCAGGGGAGCATTTAGAGGGAATTCCTGAGACGGGCTTGCCAGGATTTTCTCTGGGTGTCTGATGTAGGGCAGTGCGCTGAGCTGACAGTCGGCCGCTGGCTGTCTCTCAGGAGCAATCTGTTTTAACACTCCACAGGGCTGTCAGGCAGGTGATAGGGGTTGACGATGGGGACAGGAGGTCACAGATTGATGTCGTTGGAGAACAAGGCTTTGCCTCCCTGCCACAGCCATCCTCCGTGGTACCTGAGGGTGACCGTTTGGCCCCCACACTGAATTCAGTGCTGTCAAGCCTGCCATTAGAACTTGTGCCATGATGCCAAGAGGGCAGTCTTCATGCTTCTGGGGAAGGAATGTTCCAGAACCCAGGCACGGACCGCCCTGTGCTCAGGGAACGGGGGTGTGAGTCAGCAGGCCAGCGGGACCTCTGGTGGTCATCCTGGTTGGCTGGAGTGGTTACGGGGCTCCTAGAAATCCAGCCAGGGCTGAGGCAAGGCCCCCATTCTGTCCTCACAGGTTAGGAGCAGAGATATTTGCCAGGCCTGCTGAGGGTCGCTGGGGTTGACGAAGCCGCTGGACTTGGGCTGGTGACTCATTTTCCCCAGCGTCCCGGCTTCCCCTCCCTCCCTGGGTTTTTAGGGTCAGGTGATGAGGGCCGGAGGTGTAGGAAACCGGCCCTGTTCCTCCCCAAGCTGAGCCTTTCCCTGCATCCAAGTGTCGTCTTTTAATTCATTCCGCTGTTGGTTTCCGGGAAGACACCACATCCTGGAAAAAAGTCGGAGAGCTGGTCTTACCTCCATGAGACTTGCCGGCCCGGAGGCTGCGCACACTTGTGTCGGAGCCTCGATCTCTTTCTCAGCAGCCACAAGCTACCCAGGCAGGCAGTGCGGGGAGGAGGAGCTGGCCCTGAGCCCTGCCCTGTCCCTGCAGCGGATGCGGGGAGGCCCCGCACATCTCCACACAACACCCCTCACTGGGGTGGCGGATGCCTTTCCTCACGGATTCAAAGCCTCCTCCTCCACTTTTTTTTTTTTTAAAGATTTTATTTAGTTATTTATTTGACAGAGATCACAAGTAGGCAGAGAGGCAGAGAGAGAGAGAGGAGGAAGCAGGCTCCCCGCTGAGCAGAGAGCCCGATGTGGGGCTGGATCCCAGAACCCTGAGATCGTGACCTGAGCCGAAGGCAGAGGCTTTAACCCACTGAGCCACCCAGGCGCCCATCCTCCTCCACTTTTAACTTAAAGCTTGGACTGAGAGGAAATAAGCCCCATTCTGAATTAGGAGGATGCTGGGAGGGGCGCTCTGCGGGCAGGGGCTGGGCCTTTCCACTGCCCCCTGTGCGGCTCCCGTGTCCTGGGCTCAGTTCGTGTTCTTCCCGGTCCCGCCCAACCCTTCCAGGCAGAGTAGAGCTCCTCCAACGGTACTCGCTAGTGACGCCTTCCAGTGCCAGGAATCAGCGCGGGGACACACTGTACCCTGTGGGTTCCTTCGCAGGCCGCTTGCTCCTGGGAGAGCCCTGGGAGAGCAGGGAGGGAGCGCGCCTCCGCCCACCTCTGCCCTGCCCCCTCTTTGTTGAGGAAAATGGAAAAAGCACAAGCAGCAGCTCTGTGGTCCTTCCTGCGGAGAATGTCCTTCAGGGAGCTGTTTCTCTGTTTGAAAAATCTGGAGGTTGTTCCCCCCTCCCTCCCCGCCCCCCAGCTTAGGAGGCGGTGTCTGGGTTAGACAGGGAGTGGAAATGGTTTCAACTCATGGGGGAATCCTTAACCGGAAGGCATTAGTCACCTTATGTGCGGAGTACATATTCTTCCCCGGCTCTTCCTGCCTGCCCTCCCCGCATGTAAACCCCACACTGCATACACCGCCCCTCTAGAAGGAGCCCTCCCTCCTCGACCTCCCCCAGGCCCCCACCCAGATCCTCTCTGGGCCGCTGATCTCGCACCTCTGAGACAGCAGCACCATGTCACTCGGATGTGGTTAGGTTGTGAGCTTCTGACCGCAGTGGCTTTTCCCACTCATCTGTGCTGTTTGTCTGTGGGGCCCCGCACGGGGTGGGCTCCCGTTCTCACAGACTGGCTCCCTGCCTTGCTTCCTGCCATGTCCCCAGAGCCTGACACAGAGCAAACCCTGGACAGAGAAAAAGAATCACTCTGTGAATGAGTGAGTGAATGAATGTCTTAGTAAACACTGGTTCATGAATGCAGATAGCAGTGTCTAAGCCAGTAACCACCAGAGCTGTCAGGGACTTTAGAGAAGGGTCCATTTCGCCTCATTAATTTGTCACCATGGTCCTTGTCGCTATTCCTAACCTGCATTGAGAAGGCCGTGCCCCATGGTCCGATGAGCCCATGCCTCATGAGGAGCCTTAGGGAAAGCCCTTCCCTGGTGTTTGGTACTGACCCCTAAGCCTCCTCCTGCCAATGACCTTCCGCCCTTTCTTTCTCCACTTCAGTGGGCGTGGGGGTGGGGGCCAATGAACCAGCCCCAGCCCTCACCTCTGAACTTTCCTTTTTAGGTTTGAGAATGGTGGTGAATTTACCTCAGAGCTGGAAGATGGCGATGACCCAGCAGCTTATGTCACCAACCTGTCCTATTACCACCTGGTCCCCTTCGAGACGGACATTCTGGACTGAGTCTCTGGTGAGGCCCACCTCCCCCCACCCTTGACTGGTGGTTCTGTCCCGGCTGCAGGGGCCCCATTGCTGCCCCAGGCCTGGGTCAGGGGGTGTCTCTACGGTGACAGTGCCTGGGAGGCCTGGGCCCATGGAGCAGCAGGGTTTTCCAGAGGGCCATCCCCAAGGTCTCCCACAAGCAGGAGCCAGGTCTCCGGAGCCCCGCGTAGCCTGCTGCTTCTCCGCTCAGCACCACCAGCCTGTCTCCACCTGCCTGGGACTCGCTCCCCATCCGTGTGTGGGAGAGCCACAAGTGCCTGCAGGACATGTGGACACCAGGGCGGACACACAGGGCCTGGCAGTTCCCTCATTTCGCTGTGACTGCTTCCTGGGGAGGAGCCTGTGCCCTGGTGCGGTGCTCCCCATGGCTGCCTGGCCACCGCTCTCTCCCCACCATTCCCTCACGTGACAGGGGCACAACATGGCCTGTGAGGTGGTGAGGAGTCACCACAGTCTGGACGACATGGGCAGGGAGTGTTAAATAATCCAGGATTTCCCTGGGAACCAGGAGGTGTGGCTTTCATTTTCCTTTTTCATCTTCTTTGTGGAAACTGTGGGTCTGGTGTCAGCCAACGGGGCTCCTTATAGAAGGTTCTTTTGGGAATGGTGAGTGTTGGCTACAGAGATGGGGAAATCACTGCCCATCAGGTCCCCGTGAGCGAGGACTGAGAAGTACTGATTCCCCTCCAGAGAACAGAGTTCCTGCCTGGCCTGCCAGCATCTCTAACGCCCCTCAGCGTGGGGTAGCCGTGCCTGTAAGCACCCCAGGTTCACCTCTCCTGCTGTTTACCAAGCTCTCAGTGATGTCATTGCCATATTCACCTGCAAGGGGGGGGATCAACAGGAAAGCGCCGAGTCCCCCTTTGCCCCTTGGGGCGGGGGGGAAGGCGGGTCTGCGTTCTGTGTGCTGATCTCCTCATGGTGTCTACTAATGACCAACATTTGCTAATGTAAATAATAGTAAATTATTGAGAATCCTAATTCTTTTACACAGTCTGTTTTTTAATCTATTTTAATTAAATAAAGTGTATTACTCTACTCCAGGATTTAAGATGTCTGGTGTCTAAAGGTACAGCTCTTTCTATTCCAGGCCGCCTCAGGGCTGGCCCCAAGCATTCTGGCCTCATTGTTATTTAGAAAATGTGTTCTGTTCTCACCCTGGGGAATAATCTGTCTAAACCGAAAAGTGAACAAACAGCTTGTGTTTTTTTTTTGATTTTTGTTTTTCTGACTTGGGGTTGCCCCCCGCTTCTCCATGTTCCTCTTGGCAGCCCCAGGAACCCTCCTCTGTGACCTGACAGCCTAGCATGGGATTTCCATGGGATCTGTGTTTCCCTTCTGCCTCCCAGCTGTGTTCGGCTGAACGCATCCTGCTTTCAAATAGGCTCTTGGATGACTGTTGGGGGTTGGCGAGTTGCCTTTCTTTTCTTGCGGGGTGAATTCAGTTCCTTACAAGGATAGGGCTGCTCACCTAGCACTTAAGATTAGAATCAATCACCACGTTTAGTTAATCACCATCTACGTTTCAACAGTTGATCCTCAGGATCCCTATTCCCCAGACCTGCTTCTCTCTCTCTGCGCAGCCGCTGGCCAAGCTCCTCTCTCTGCTTACGTTGGACTGTGTTTCCCCACTGGGGCCCAAGGTTGGCTCTGCAAGCTTCTTCACTATTTCCAATCAGTACACCGTGAGACTTCTCAACTAGGGGTCGGGTGTTTGGATATTTGTTTTCCTAGGAAGCACATCAGAGCATTCTCTGGCTTCCTTCCCCACACCCCCTGGAAAAACACAAGGTAGGCTCATTCTCATTCTGACATTTGAAAGAATCTGAAGTACAGGTAACTGTTTCTTTACGTGCAGTGGTGATTGGTCACTAGTGCTCAGCATCCCTGTGGGAAGGCCAGTGTGGGGTGGTGGGGACTGGAGCAAACACAGAGCTCTTGCACTGTGTAAAGGGAGCAGTTAGCACCACTCTGTTCAGCGGACCATTCCAGCTGGTTGGGTGGGCTCAAGGTGGCCAGCCCTCCCAGGTTTTCAAAAGCAGCTGGAAATCTGACTTTTTATCTGAAATATCCCAATTTTGAAGAGTTACCAAAAAACACCCATGACAAGAAACTTTTCCAAGTAGAAGAATGAGGAAGTTTCGGTTTCTAAACCGTCAGTTCAGAGAATCAACACCAGACAAGTTCAAGTTCATGTGGGAAGGTTGCACTCTTGCCCACACATTTCTCCAGAGACTTCTTTACAACAACCTGCCTCTCTGTTTCCTCTGTGACATGTCCCTCATGCTGCCCTGGCAACCAGGAGGCCCTTGGCAACAGTGGCCTGGACACTCCCCTTTGTTACCGAATCGTGTCGGAAAACTTGTTTACTCCACTGCAAAGGGGTATGCAGCTAAGACAATTTTTTGGCAAATTAAATGAAAGAAACCTGCGTTTCCTATTTGAAAGGAACCTTCAGCAAATGTTATTTATAGGCAGAGGGATCATCTGCTCTTTGTGTTGTAAATAGACACTGTATTTCACGGATGAGATTTGCTTGAAGGTACACCACGAGGACACAATCTAGGTCTGCCCTCTGATGAGCCTGCAGAATTGACATGCTGGGCAGTCCGCGTCCTTGCTGTGGGACAGCAGACGGGCATGAGCTACCTGGTAATTGAGCAGACTGGGGGCTCATTAATAAGCACACCGTCCTCAAAGATAGAACATTCATTAATAGAAATATATGCAGGGTGCTGGCAGCCAAACTGCCCTGAGCAATGTGTCCTAACCTTGGCCTCTTTCTCCTCCTGGGGATCGAATGCATTCTTGGTCTTCATTTAAGAGGGCATTCTGTCAAATTACAAGCATTTTTATTGCAGGTGAGATTTCTGACCCATGTCCAGAGGGGTTAAAGTACTTTCTGCATATCAATTTCCCGCTCTAGGTGCATTACTATTTTCACATGTAGATTTTATGATTATAGGGGCATGGCAAGGCCAAGAGATCAGAGGACTGCCATTGAGAACATGGTTTGTTACTCACAGACCCCAAGAGGAGGGAGACACAACACCAGCAGGGCCACGTGGGGAAACACCAGGGCTGGTCAGGAGGCAGGGGGGCGATGCTGTGGGCAAGAGCCTACAGAGAAGAACAGGCAAGGCAGAGATAAGCAGGTTTTGGATTGGCCAGACTGAATAATTTCAGTGAGGTCTGGGGCACCGAGGCTCCCCCACTGGGTGTCTGACACCTGTCCTTAGGGTGATTAGGGCAGATGGACAGTGGCCCAAAATATGAGAGCCCATAAAGGAGGTAGTGGGGGTGTGGGCTCTGCACTGGTTGGTTTGCATATACAAGGTGGGCTCAAGGCAGATTGTTCACTATTTCTAGGAATTGGCTAATCCCGGAAAGGACAGTCCCTCCATCACGAGCAAGGTCCCAAGATGTGTAAGCATCAAATATAGTAACTTAGAAGATGTCCTTATTGCACAAATTAATCCCTAGGAGTCCTCTGAATCTTTGGTCTCCAAAGGGATCTGATATTATCCCCTGCGGAGGACACAGAGGAAACCAAAATTGTGACATAACTTGATGCCTCATGCACGAAACTTCCAGGAGGTACAAGGCTACACAAAGATACAGATGTCACTTTTTCTTGATTTGAATGGGTAATATAGTCCTGTGCTGCAGAACTCAAAATGATTTAAAGGGTTTTGCACAGAAAGTATTATTCCTATCCCTTTTCCCATCCTCTCCTCCCTAACAATGATTAGTCTCTAGCACAAACTTGTAATATTTCTTTATGAAAATACCAAGCACACATGAATATACACATTTTTTAGACAACAGAAGAATTCCTCTGAAGTCCATATAGCTTAGCCTTCATGGCCATTAACAATGTGTCCTGAAGCACTTCAGAACTCAGTGGTCTGCTCAAACGTGATACGTTTTGCTCCTAATCAGAGTCTGAACAACTGAAGGATTTGGCAGGTGTGCAGTGTATCATATCTTAAACACGTTTAACTTTATTATATTGCTGGGCAAAGTGTTAGAATTTCTATTATTTGTTCCTGTCTGTTTTGGGATTGGGGTGAAGATCAGGGTGGTAGGAGTTGACAGAGGGTTGTGAATTTTCCATAAACTAAGGGCTGCTCTTGGTCTTAAGATAGTAAATCCTGAGAGCAAATTTTTCTTTTGTGAGCAAATTCACATTAAACAATCTTTTTTTTAAGTTTTATTTTTTATCATTTTTTAAAGATTTTATTTATTATTTATTTGAGAGAAAGAGAGAGAGAGCGTGAGAGGAGAGAAAAGTCAGTGGGAGAAGCAGACTCCCTGCCGAGCAGGGAGCCCAATGTGGGACTCGATCCCCAGACTCTAGGATCATGTCCTGAGCCGAAGACAGTCGCTTAACCAACTGAACCACCCAGGTGCCCCACATTAAACAATCTTGAGACAGATGTCTAAATCCCAAAATGCCCATTTATTTATTTACAGTCGTTACAACTGATCCAGAAATCAGAATCCTAAGAAGTTATGGCTGGCCAGTGCATTCACTCCTGGCAAGTGGGAAAAGTTGAATCAACGATCTAAAGCCTGTTCATGAATATGGGAATTAGAAGGGGGGAGATTGATTAGATTAAACACTCCTGGAAATATCATTGGTACCAGGGCTTTAAAATTCTGTGGAAGGCATTTTGACACCACACAAAGTCAACAGATTTTTTTTTATATAAGTGACTGTTCTGTGTTTTTTCTCACTTCTCTGTGGACAAGTGAAAATTTGTCAGAGGCAAGCTATGAGATTTTTGGAAACACCAGTATTGAATGAAGAGACAATAGAGCTGACCTCAACAATGGAAAAACCAAGCAGTAACATCTCCAAAGTCAGGATGGCCTTGCCTGTAGGCAAATGCAACTCAAATATCGAGGTGAGGGTTATGGGAGGGCAGACCCTCTACTTGGTCCTGCAACATCCTTGCTCAGTAGGGAAACTTCTCAGGAAGACTTCGCTGGTGGGAGGATGGGGCACACAAGGTTTCATCCTTTATGTTCCTTTGGATGGAACAATTATGGTTTCCTACTGCACCAAACACTCAAAGTTGGTTGGGTTGGTCAAGATTTCTCCACCGCATGGTGACTGGTGGGCACTGAACAAGTTTATTTCTGTAATAATTAAGACATGTCTTACACTCAAGTCTTGGGATCCATTCTTCTAAGGAGAATTTGCACATCTTAATTCTAATCAATTGGTAGTTTTGGAGTATAACTCACAATGACAACCTTTTATTATTATTTGATTTTAGTTTTGGGGCAGGCATTGTTTACACACAGTACAAAATTCAATATAATACAAAGTGGTGCTCCTTGAAAAACAAGTTCCAGCTCATTCTCATGCCCTAGCTACCCTAGGGACAAACATTAGAACCAGTTTCTTGGGTCTACTCCAGAAGTATATATGAATGTGTATATTTTTTTAATGTATGCACCTGGCTTTTTTCCTTAAAATTAGTTTGGAGATTCCTAGAGTTACCTCATTCTTTTTACCTAGATGCATTTATTTAGCTAAGCAACATTTTCCTTTTTTTTTTCTTTCCTCATGATACTTTCTCTGTTTCTGTTTCTTTTTAATTTTGTAAATATGTAAACCATTCACATATTTCAGAATATTTTCAGTCCATTCACCCACTCATATTTGTTCAAGAAATACTTACTGAGTGTCCACTGGGTACCACTGTTCTAGATTCTAGGGATATATCAGTGAACAAAGAAGCTTATTTCTCATGAAGGGAGCCAGCAATAGACAAAACAAGTGAATGTGAGATGGTAAACTGGAGGACATGGAGAAAAAGCAGAGATGAAGATCTTAAGGCTGGTTGAGGGTGGTCAGGCAGGTGAAACTTCAGGGGTGAAATCTGAACAAAGATGAGGGAATAAGCCATATGGACATCTTGGGAGTGACGTGAGGATCTGGTAAGCCAATGTAAGGTACTGGCTTTCCTGTGAGATGGAACCCCTGGGGGAATTCAAATAGAAGAGTAATAGGAAATGATGTAGACAAGGGTCA